ATTCTATAGCCTTCCCGAAATTTCATTATTTTGGAGTCACAGAATCTGAGGAGCTGCTGTGATTTTGTTTTTTGTTTTTGTTTTTCAGTGTGGAGTCTTGTAGAGGATTGCGGGCTGCTAATGTGTGAATCCTTCCTTCCCAGTTTACATTCTTCAGTTTACTTCATGTGGCCACCCAGTGGCTGAACAGGGAGGCTGTTGCACGTGCAAACCAAAGCTTTTACTGTGTACTAACATAGTAAAAGCTGCTTTTACTATGTATTAACAAAGTCCAGAGAAATTACAACACAGACTTCTTTTCTTAATTTAAGCTTAGGGTTAAATTAATGTTTCTCACATTCCATTTTTTTTTTTTTAATTTTGAGTTTTCTTATTACTGAATCCTAGTATTTCGGTAATTTGGTATTTCAACAACAGCAACAGAGACAATTGAAACTCTGCTTAGCTTGCTTGTAGTTGTTTTAGTTTTTATATTTAATCTCCCTGCCTGTATTTCTTCTTTTCTTCCTTCATCTTAATTTCTGGTTCCTCCTTCTTTTTGCCATAAATGCGAAAAGCCAAACTCTAAATGCCAAATAATTTGTTTTCAGTTTTGGAAAAAAAAAAAAAAGAAAGAAAATTGCTCAGAAGGGAAAATGAAAAGTTTGGCTTTTAATTTATTTCCTCTTTTCCAGACCAGACTATCTTGGTCTGGCCTGGCTTGGCCCATCTGGTCGAAGTGGGGCCAGTCAGACAGCCCCTTCCCCTGGGTGAGACTCCCCAGGGTCATTGGAGGGGCTGAGGTACAGCTCTACTCAGAGCTGGATGCTGGGATGCAGACCCAAGACTACCTGCAGCACCAGGCAGCAGTAGGAACTGCTGCACAGGAAAACAGTAAGGATCCTCAACTAAAGTCATGAGTATGTTGGGTTGGAGGGAGGAGATCCCAGTCGTGTGGGCTGGGGAGAGGGGCTCTGGATCCTGGAAGCCTACATCTCCTACTGGCCACTACCTCCTGCTCAACCCTAATTGCTAGGCGCCACTGCTTTTGCACCACCAGAGGAACATAGGTTTCTTGGATTCCTCACCAGTCCCTAGATGCTGCTACTTTTGCAGAGCCATGTGGAACCCAATTCTTTAGATATCAAACTCCATACTCTCACTCCTAGATCTTACAGCCTCCCTCCCCTGCTCAGCACAGGAAGGGACCAAGGTATCTGGGATCCCCTGCCCCCAAACTCTAACTGCTTAATACTCCTGGTAGAAAAGGAACACACCTGTCCGGTAATTCCCCCTGTAGAAAATCCTCAACCCTCCTCTCCCTCACTTCCCAGAGAGAAACCGGGTGGTTAGGACTACATCTTTCTAACCCCCAGACCTGTTGTGTTCTCACTGCTGGAAAGAACCTAGCTGTCTAGGAACACCTACCCTATGGAGAGAGCTTGCTCTCTGGCACACAACCCCCCTGCACTGTTTCTACGTGGATGTAAAGCCCTTCTTGGAATAGATCTGTGGGTGTGTGCCAGTGTATTAAGCAATCCTGTGCTGCTCTTTGGCGCTTACGAGACCACACCTGGAGTGCAGTGTCCAGCTTTAGTCTCCCCAGCACAGGACAGATCTGGACACACTGGGACGAGCCCAGCATAGGATCGTCTAGATCTAGGTGGCTGGGGGCACAGGGCATCCAAGGAGTGACAGAAGGTTCTAGGTGCCAACTATTTGCCTTCCTCACTCTCCATTGGATCTTGAACTCCAGAAGAAACACTGATCCCTGCAGCCCAGCTGGCCACTATCACCTCCCCAACCACTTCTGCCTGGGGGAGAAGTAGCAGGTCTAGCTGTATATCACCCTTTTGTGGCCTGGCCAGCACCAACACCAAGACACTGTACCCAGCACCGTCCACAAACGTCCAGGATGGCTCACATTCCTCCACCTTTCCCTGCCTTCCAGCACCTCTTGATGAAGTTACAGTCCCAAGGAGAACCACACTCAGGGGTCTGGACTGCTTCTTCCTCCGGCTGCTTCAAGAAGGCCTTGTCCCCTTCGTCACTCTCATTGACTGCTCTGCAAGATGCTTCCAGTGGAAACTCACCCTTCCCAGCGTCTCCTCTGAGCCTGATCCACAGGCAAGCAGCTGGCATCTTACCCCTTCACCAGAAGAGCCCCACATGAGCAAGC